AAAAACGCAGAATAGTTAGAAACTATATGACCAAAAGGAACCTAAAAAGAACAGCCAAATACATCTAAATGAAAAGAACAGCCAAATACATCTAAATGAAAAGAACAGCCAAATACATCTAAATGAAAAGAACAGCCAAATACATCTAAGGTCAACCTTGACTGAGGGCGCTGGTTCTTTTAGCTTTTTTAAAATAATTTCTTAGTTTATCAACGGGGAATTTTGGACAAATATGGTGTACATCATATCAGTATCATGTCAGTATCGAAGCACTGACTACTGAGCTGACAAATGTTCTGTATATCCTTCATTTCTGTATTCAGTTTTGAATTACCTAATTCTTTTATTTTCCACAGTTATTCTTTATACTTTTGAACCCTATTATTCTCTATCCCTTATTTTTTGGGGCTCATTTTTCTCATATTCATTATATTATTTGGCGATCATTGAATTCTCCATCATGTCAACCCCATCCAGACCCATATCTATATATGGCGTTACATTTTATAAAAAAAAACTTTAGCTCTTTATTCTCTTGCCGTTTGAAAAATCATTGTCACTTTATCGATATTTTACAATTACTTTTTTTCTAGTACATTACATTATTATAAAATCAAATCCTAGAATCAAACGACGGATCTACATAAATACTCGCTGTAAATCACTTACCAATATACAATCACTTTCTTTATTTTTCATTAATTAATAACAGAGCTAAAAACAACATTAGAACAAAAAAAAAACTAATTGTAGTAATTAATGTACTTCAGGTCAACACTTAATATATTTTATTGTTGATGTAAGAATTCCTCAGTAGTACACTACATATCTTATGACATGCTAATTAGTATGTGTTTTGTTATGTCAGAGCCTCGCTTATAAACCAGATATACAAATTAATGCAATAGTAATTAATATATGTTATGTCAGTCTATCGCCTATGTCACATCACAATTAATATAAAGTAAGTAAGTTATTGTGTCAGCTACTTTCTTGGCACACGTTAATACTAAAACACATAATAAACCAACAATAAAATGTCTATGTTAATTAGTATTACCTTTGGGTTACGTACAAATTTTATTACTGATCATACACATCCTTCCATCAATGATTTACACAGCTAACACGATGTTACTTCCGTACTTCCGACGCAAAACAAATAGGTATATAGTTGGCCTCTGATGTACCAGAGGTTATTACTGGTCTCTGACACAAAACAAATAGGTATACAGTTGGACTGTGATGGACCAGTGGCTATTACTGGTCCCTGACACAAAACAAATAGGTATACAGTTGGCATATGATGTACCAGAGGTTATTACTGGTCTCTGACACAAAACAAATAGGTATATAGTTGGCCTATGATGTACCAGAGGTTATAACTGGTCTCGGACACAAAACAAATAGGTATACAGTTGGCCTGTGATGGACCAGTGTCTATTACTGGTCTCTGACACAAAACAAATAGGTATACAGTTAACCAATGATGGACCAGTGGTTACTACTGGTCTCTGACACAAAACAAATAGGTAAACAGTTGAACTATGATGGACCAGTGGCTATTACTGGTCACTGACACAAAACAAACAGGTATACAGTTGACCCATGATTGACCAGTGGCTATTACTGGTCTCTGACACAAAACAAATAGGTGTACAGTTGGCCTATGATGGACCAATGGCTATTACTGGCCTCTGACACACAACAATTAGGTATGCAATTGGACTATGATGGACCAGTGGTTGTTACTGGTCTCTGATATAAAACTTAAGTATATAGTTGGCCTATGATTGACCATTGGATATTACCGGTCTCTGACACAAAACAAATAGGTATACAGTTGACCTATGATGGACCAGTGGCTATTACTGGTCTCTGACATAAAACAAATAGGTATGCAGTTAGCCTTTGATGATCCCTGCAGGACCAGTGGCTATAACTGGTGTTTGACACAAAACAAATACGTATACAGTTGACCTATGATGGGTCAATAGCTATTACTAGTCTCTGACACAAGACAAATAAGTATACAGTTGACCTATGATGGACCAGTGGCTATTGCTGGCCTCTGACACAAGACAAATAGATATACAGTTGGAATATGATGGACCAGTGGCTATTACTGGCCTCTGACACAAGACAAATAGGTATACAGTTGGAATATGATGGACCGGTGTTTATTACTGGCCTCTGACACACATCAATTAGGTATACAGTTGGACTATGATGGACCAGTGTCTATTACTGGTCTCTGACATAAAACTTAAGTATATATTTGGCCTATGATGAACTAGTGGCTATTACGGGCCTTTGACACAAAACAAATACGTATATAGTTGGCCTATGATGGACCAGTGACTATTGCCGGTCTCTGACACAAACCAAATGGGTATACAGTTGATCCATGATAGACCAGTGGCTATTACTGGCCTCTGACACGAAACAAACATGTATACAGTTGGCCTATGATGGACCAGTGGCTATTGCCGGTCTCTGACACAAACCAAATACGTATACAGTTGATCTATGACAGACCAGTGGCTATTACTGTCTCTGACACAAAACAAATAGGTATACAGTTGGAATAGAGTGGACCAGTGGTTTTTTCTGGCCTCTGACATAAACAATTTGGTATATAGTTGGACTATGATGGAGAAGTAGCTATTTCTGGTAACAGTTTATAGATATTGCAAAATAAAAAGAAAATCAAAAAGTCACTCCTCTTTCATTTAATCTGAGACTACTTTATTAATCTAAGATCTCAGTTTACTGCTGAATATCTATTTATGTTATTCAATTAGCTCCTTTTATAATCATAATCTTTATTGTCATATAAACAAATTGAAAATATAATAGAAAAGAAAGGATATAGGGTATCCATCCATGACACAATATCAGCTTATGCTCAACAAAAAAATACGAAAAGCAATGGAACAGTGCTTTAATTGCTGTTCTTCGTCTCAATGTCACAGTGAGGCCTTCAACACGGAGCAAAAACTCTCACCTCACTGTAAGTTTAAGACATCCCTAGCACCGGTTTTAGCGGAATTCAATGTTTAAGCTTTAAAGTTGTATCCCGAGGATTGTATATTCTTATAATTCATGCAAAATCCCCAAGATCCCATCCTTCGAAAGCCGTTTTCCTGTGGTAAGTTGTTGCATCCGAGATGTCATACATGGCATATCTTACTAAAGTTAATATGATGTACTTGTAGTATAAACACTAGTAAATAACAGAATGGTTCATTAAACTGAGATGAGATAATGATTTATTATGTAAGATTTAGAAGGACATGGTCAGTTTAATCAAGATAAACTTTGGTGATGTATTAGTAATAAATCCCTGGAGTCTTCCTGCTCATTAAACTTGCGTCATTCATTACAATTATCAGACAATTCTATCACTGATATATCTGGTTTATATTAAACTTAACATGTAATAATGAAGAGTTATACAGGTGTCGCTCGTCTTCATTAACCATACAAGTATACTCAACTTCTGGATCAATGGGTATTTTAATTGGGTACAAGGCGCGGATTCAGACCCCCTGAAAAATTAAAAAAATGTAATTTATAGGTAAAATTACAGCTAAAAAAAAAATAGTACTCTAACTCCTAATTCACAGGAGCGCCCCTCTAACATCAAATCCTGGACAATCGCATTGGTACAACACAGTATTCAACTGAAGACCAACCCGGGTATATTTTCACGGAGACCGATGTCGGTTTAGTTGATTTTACTGTCTGGCTGAAAGATTCTATATGTATATTTATATATGTTTAATCATATATATAGAAACAATAAAACAAGTTTCATATAAAATGTGTGTTTTAAAAGTGTTTAGCTTGTAAAGTAATTTATTTTGTTAAAAAAAATTTGTGTTGATTGTCGTTAATAATTTTTTTAATCCGTGTCATTTTTAATGTAACTTAATAAATTCATATTAACCTTTTATGTTTTACACATCTTTGCCCGTTTGAACTTGCGAACTTGTATTAATATAAGCTATTACTTAATTTTATAATTCCGGACGTATTTTAAGCTGCTGTTATCAAATAATGAAGAAAAATAATCAGATTTTCATAATAACAGGACATACTATGTCCGGGATGCTTGTCCACTGTCTTAGATCATTTTGTCTAAGACATCACTTAAGCTGAGACGCTTATACAATCACATGTAAGTTTACATGTAGTTCTCTTTTTTTTTTATTTGTTGGCCTTGTGTGAATTATAATCAGTGAGTGTTTATTGCGGAAAAATGAGTTTTAAAAATATTATCGATATTTGTCTCTTTTTGTTTTTATCTTTTAATTTCTAGTCAAAAATCAATATTTAAAAAAGGCATAATGCATTAAAAATCAGTTGACACTTTCAATGAAATCGTTTCGCTGAAATGAGAGATTTTTTCAATCCACATGTATTTAATATTGAGCTTTTAGTTAATTTTGAAATAATTAATTTCCTCGCGCATGTTTCTAATATTTTTGAATATGAAGTCAAGATGTATGTGATTATAGAGTTCGGGATTTAATAATCTCAATTCTTATATAATTGTTGCGGGCGGAATGAGGCTACACTGACCAGCAACCATCAAACGAGGAACAGCCTTGTAATAAATCAGACATGCTTTGTTTATGTTTCTCTTTAGATAATGAATCATAATTCAATCTGACTGTGAACTATGGCCAAACTATGCTGCTGGTCAAGACGACCTTTCTAAAATTACTTCCGGTAATTTTGTTTAACTGTAAATTTTCTTAGTTTACCTGTAGTTCTTTAGTTACGAATACACAATGTTAAATTTCTTACATAATACCTATATAAATAGCATTGTCCAGTATGATCTAATGATCTTTTTTTCCTTGAAGCAATTGGTAATATTAGATTATATAGGTCATACACGTCACATGCGCAGAAGTTTATGTAGTTATTGTGCAAGAGGGTCATTGCGAGTTCACCGATTGCAAACAACCGTATAAGCGTTGGTCATTGGTTGGTCAATTTCAATGGTCATCTGGCCTTAGCACATAACGGACATTCATTATACCATAACTTACACTAGGAAATCGCACGTTTTTGTAAGTTTTTGTCATTTTTTAAATATTTTTGAATTTTTAGTTTTTATTAAAATAACTTAAATATATTATATAAATTCTATAAATATATGTCAATATTAATTATATTATTTTATTCAGTGTTCGTTATGTGTAAACAATTTAAATGACTGAATCTTTATATAAACAGTGTATATTTATATACATATAGATATAAAGAATTTAACTTTTCATATAGATATACTTTCTTTTAATATATTATGGTTGTTATTTTGTATTAACTTGAAACTTCTTCTTTCCAGAAATGTGCGGTATGGCAGAAACTGCCTTAGATCTGTCTAAGCCTACATGTAGTGATGCTTACATCAAGGCTCCAAGTGACCAGGAGTCTCGAACATCATCTCCGGTGTCTTCAATCAAATCAGAGGAGAACAATTCTCAGGAAAATCTACAAAATAGCGCGTCAAGTGACAATAGTGAAACGTCAGAGAGAAATAAAATACATAGACCTTTCAAGATATATCCCATGGATCCATTCTCAACATTAAGTATGGGTACACCAATATCTCCTCTGTCACCGATGCCATCCGCTGCTGGTATGTCCTCTGTGTTCGATACAGCCGTACCAACCTTTCCGCTGACGCCATTAACATCACATTTGTTACATCGCAAGAGGCGCGCGGAAAGTCGATCTGACAGTCGTGACTGTAAAAAAGCGACAAATCCAGTGCCAGAAGAAAGGAAGGACGATTCTTATTGGGAAAGACGGAGGAAAAATAACGAAGCAGCTAAACGATCTCGAGATGCAAGAAGAGAGAAAGAAGAAGAAATAGCAATGCGAGCAGCTTTTCTGGAACAAGAAAACTTAAAACTTCGAGCGCAAGTGACAATACTCAAAAATGAAACTGCTAAATTACATTACATGTTGTATAATCGCTTATAAATTTTGGGATACTATTTGCGTGGAATTAAAAGTGAGATTTCTTCAGAAACTGAGTTAAAACTATATATCTGACTAAAGAAGAAAGGAACAGCTATATTACTTATATTCTAGGCTAAGCAACAAAACCTAGGCGATTTGAGACGAAATAGACAACTAGCAAGCGATGTGAAAAACTGAATGCTTTGATAAAAGGGACAATGAACTACCTCAGTTATCGAAAAACTATTTACATTATATATCAGGACAGCATCCTTTCATCTCCTACCCCCTGATCAAATGTTGGTATATATGTGCAGTGCTTGACTTTGTATTAGTGCTAAAGTTTGAATGTGTATTTATTATGTAACGCAAGGCGTGCGTATGTGTTCATTGTTTCATTTTAGGGATGTAATCTCTTTGTTTGTTTTTTTCTTTTTTTAATTTTACGTACTCCTGCCATTTTATGTTTTTGTATTTTGTCTGAAAAATGAATTTAATGGAATCATTTATATCTTTTGAAACCAAAATTGCGCGTGCTGATGATTTTTACAGTTATTTTTCTTTTCTTTTTTTGTTTTAAGTCCGTTTTAATTTTTTTCAAATTTAATAACCACTCCCACTTTTTTCAGTTGCTCGATTTAATTGCTCTTTCGTTCTTTTTCACAAATCATTATTCATCATTAAGCATAATTTTGTTATGTATGTTATTGTATGTGTGCATGTTTAGTAAAAGTAGAGAGAATTTAGATTTTTATAAATGTAACTTACTGATTTAAAAACTCAAAAAATTGGTGCAAATTTTATCATTGAACATATTGTTATGTTTTATATAGTAAAGTATTCTATATAAATTGTCTTAATGCTTATTATTTAGTCCACAAAGTCCTATCTAATTTGAACGACTATATCTAAATGTCCTCAACACAGATAATTGCAGAACTTGATTTTATTTTGTATTTTCAATATCTTGGCGATTGATGAAAAGCCGAATCTATATATATCGACATTGAATATCATATTCACGTTCGTCTTTAATTTATTTTATTCATTATTTTTTTTTTTTTTTTTGAAACATTTATTTATTTACGTACATGTTTATTGAAGTGATCAATAAAAGTTCTTTTTGGTTTTTAACAACAAAAATATCAGTAAAGGTTTTGGATGACATGAAGCAAACTGAAAACTTCAACTTTGTTTGGAATGCACGTGAAAACTAAATGAAACTTCAATCTTGCTTGGAATGCACGTGAAAACTAAATGAAACTTCAAACTTGTTTTGAATGCACGTGAAAACTAATCAAAACTTCAATCTTGTTAGGAATACATGTGAAAAATTAATGAAACAAACACGAAATTGTTTTTGTTTTAAATGTGTTTGAGAGGGAAACAATATTTGTAGTATTCTAATTTATATAAATTTTCACTGGGGAAAGCGTGTATTATATAACTTATTTCCCGGTTATATTCTAATTTTACATCAACATTTTAATTTCCAACTTTTTAACGTACAAATTTTTCCAAGAAACCCTGTTATATTTGAGGAAGGATGAATATGGTGTCACGGGATGTACTAAGGCTTAATATCAAGGAATTCTGAGAAAACGAAAAAGAATCAAAGGATATAACGGGTTAAAATGTTGTTTCTTTAATTTTGATAAAGATATCCCTACATGTAATGCTACTTATAGATTTTTTCTGAAGAGTTGTTAAAGTCTGACAGAGACTTTAAGAATTTACTTACAAGTGCCAATGTTTTGTATGAACTAATAGCGAATACACTTTAAAAATTGATATATCTATTTTTATACTGGTGTTTAAAATCATTTTATATTTCATTTCAAGTCCTGACATTTGTTGATTTTAATAATTCAACATTATATAAGGCGTGTAATTCTCTATCGACCCCAATCTCCCTTTATACTGGCCGAGGTCAAGTGACCGTCTTACGGAATACTTGCACAATTATCGGATCGGTCAAACGTAAGCCTTTATAAAATCTTGCATAACGACAGATTGAACTTTTAGCCTTAGTTTAAAATCTTACATAATCTTTCTCGTCTCAGGTAAAACCTATTTACTCATGATATCAATTGGTCTTTGTTTGACTGTACAGGTCGTGTAATAAAGTTACTTTAAACAACATTTCAATAAATAAATAATTATGGTGTGTTGTAAAGAAGAGGAATAACTATATGACTGTTTATAAAGTTATAGTTATGGTAAAATATTTCAATAAATAAAATAAATATCAGATATTGAATTAAGAATGCATATTAGAACAAATTACAGTTCGACATTTTTCTGTAGAAGGTTATAAATAATGTTTTGTTCGACGCCACTCAAACATAAGCAAAAATATTAATTCTCAAACCCACTTTAAAGTTTAAGGGGAAAATAACTTTCGTTTGAATTGTTTTACATTGTCATTTCGGGGCCTTTTATAGCTGACTGTGGTATGGGCTTTGCTCATTGTTGAAGGCCGTACGGTGACCTATAGTTGTTAATTTCTGTGTCATTTTGTCTCTTGTAGAGAGTTGTCTCATTGGCAATCATACCACATCTTCTTTTTTATATTTGGCGAAAAAACAGTAGTTAAGATTTGGGTGTGTGGTATACTGTGGATTAGTCTGCATGATAGGAATACTCAAGTCCTTCCAATAGGTTATCCTATAGTCATTCCTATTAGAAATGTTCTGCGGTTGCCTGTTCTATAGGATAATTCCTATAATATATATAGGTATACTGACTGTGGGAGGGTTTTTCCTGCAAGACTCCTGTGAAAATTCCTATGGAATTTCTTAAGGATTGTTATATTGTTGTCGTTAGATATGTCCTTCCAATTAAATGCGTATATTGTTGTCTCTGCTAAAGGAAAGACGAAGTGGTACCTCATTTACCATATCAATACTATGGTCATTCCTTTTATGAAAGCCATACTGTGATCCTTCCTAGCCTTACTTAACACATAGAAAACTCCGTCCCTCCGATGTCACAAGTGTTCACAGTTCTCCAGGATGGATATTTTATGTCCCTACTATATGATAAGTTTAGTGTTGAACGTCCTACAGTTTAGGTTACACAGGTTGTATCCCACACGATAGGCTAACAGTTGTCCGTCCTACAGGATAATATACCATGTCCCTACCGAGTGATAGGAATACTGTTGTCTGTCCAACATGAAAATGTACCATGTCCCTACCGTGTGATAGGTATACTGTTGTCTGTCCCACATGATGAATTTACCATGTCCCAGGACTCCCTACCGTGTAATAGGTATACTGTTATCTGTCCCACATGATAAATGTACCATGCCCCTACCGTATGGCAGGTATACTGTTGCCTGTCCCACATGATAAATGTACCATGTCCCTACCGTGTGTTAGGTATACTGTTGTCTGTTCCACATGATAACTGTACCATGTCCCTAACGTATGATATGAATACTGTTGTCTGTCCCACATGATAAATGTACCATGTACCTTCCGTATAATAGGTATACTGTTGTCTGTCCCACATGATAACTGTAACATGTCCCTTCCGTATGATGGGTATACTGTTGTCTATCATAGAGGACATGTATACCGTTGTCCGTCCTACAGGATAGGCTTACAGTTGTCCGTCCTATGGGACATGTATACAGTTGTCCGTCCTACAGGATAGGCTTACAGCTGTTCGTCATACAAGATAGGTATACTGTTATGCGTCCTACATGATCTGTGTACCATGCCTTCTTTTAATGCGGATACTGTTGTTCGTCCTATGGGATAGGTATTTAGTTGTCCATTTTACAAGATAGACTTAGTGTTGTCCGTCCTTTGGGACATGTATACTGTTGTCCGTCCTTTGGGACATGTATACTGTTGTCAGTCCTGCAAATTAAATAGGCTTACAGTTTTCGTCCTAAAAGATAGGCTGACTGTTGTCCGTCCTATGGGATATGTATAGACTGCTACCCGTCCTATATATGGGATAGGTATACAGTTGTCCGTCCTACATGATAGGTATACAGTTGTTCGTCCTACAAAATAGGCTTACAGTTTTCCGTCCTAGAAGATAGGCTTACTTTTGTCCGTCCAATGGAATATGTATACTTCTGTCCGTCTTATATATGGGATAGGTATACAGCTGTCCGTCCTACATGATAGGTATACAGTTGTCCGTCCTACATGATAGGTATATAGTTGTACGTCCAACAAGATAGGTATACAATTGTCCGTCCTGCATGATAGTTATAAAGTTGTACGTCCTACATGATAGGTATACAATTGTCCGTCTTACATGATAAGTATACAATTGTCCGTCCTACAGATAGGTATACAATTGTCCGTCCTACATGATAGGTATACAATTGTCCGTCCTATAAGTTAGGGTAACAGTCATCATTCCTATAGTCCTACATGATAGGTGTATATACTACATATGTCCCTATCGTATGATGGGGATACTGTTTTTCATTCTACACGATAGGTGTTTACTCCATATGTTCATATCGTATGATGGGGATACTGTTTTTCATTCTACACGATAGGTGTATACTACATATGTCCCTATCGTATGATGGGGATACTGTTTTTCATTTTACACGATAGGTGTATACTACATATGTCCCTACAGTATGATGGGGATACTGTTTTCATCCTACATGAAAGGTGTATACTACAGATGTCCTTATCGTATGATGGGGATACTGTTTTTCATTCTACACGATAGGTGTATACTACATATGTCCCTATCGTATGATGGGGATACTGTTTTCATCCTACATGAAAGGTGTATACTACAGATGTCCTTATCGTATGATGGGGATACTGTTTTTCATTCTACACGATAGGTGTATACTACCGTGATATGTCCCTATCGTATGATGGGGATACTGTTTTCATCCTACATGAAAGGTGTATACTACAGATGTCCTTATCGTATGATGGGGATACTGTTTTTCATTCTACACGATAGGTGTATACTACATATGTCCCTATCGTATGATGGGGATACTGTTTTCATCCTACATGAAAGGTGTATACTACAGATGTCCTTATCGTATGATGGGGATACTGTTTTTCATTCTACACGATAGGTGTATACTACATATATGTCCCTATCGTATGATGGGGATACTGTTTTCATCCTACATGAAAGGTGTATACTACAGATGTCCTTATCGTATGATGGGGATACTGTTTTTCATTCTACACGATAGGTGTATACTACACATGTCCCTATCGTATGATGGGGATACTGTTTTTCATTCTACATGATAGGTGTACTATGTCTATTTTGTAAGATAGGTATACTGTAGTTCATCCTACAGGATAGGTTTATTGTTGTCCGTCATACAATAAAAGTTTTACTTTCCCCCTAGTGTATAGTCCGTCGTACATGGTAGGTATGCTGTTTGTCCAAGATCAGGAGCATGTAGGCTAGGTATTCTTTTGAACATACTGAAGAATATGTATATTTCATGTGAGCTTTTATATAAGCTTGATATATTGTATCACCCCTCTAGGATAGGTTTAAATTGATCTGTTTGGATTATTGGTGTCTTTGTCAAATTTACTATCAACTACAACACCTTTTTTGTTGTCGTCTTTGTGAGATTCATTTGTATGTTTGTTTAAATTTTTAGTCAGTTGTGTTGTGTTTTGTCACATTAACCTTCTATGTCTGTTTGGGTTGCTCACCCAATTTTGTCAATATATCGGAACTATAAACAACTGTCATACAAGTGGGAGGCTTAGCTAGCTATAAAACCAGGTTTAACCCACCATTTTCTTCGGAAAATGTTTGTACTAAGTCAAGAATATGATAGTTGTTTTTCGCTCGTTCCGTAGGTTCATAATGTTTGATTTTGTCGGTTTTTATGGACTTCTCCTTTTTAAATTTATCTTAAATTTTGATATTTTTGTTATATCTTTTTGATCCATACGATAGAATCTGTATTCTGTGACCCTTTATAAAAGTTGGTATACTGTACCATCCTTGTAGGATAGGTAAACTTTGGTCCATACCATAGAATATGTAGTACGTGTCCCTTATATATAAAACAGGTACACTCTACCACCCTATTTAGATAGGAGTATCATAATTAGAATAGCTATAAAAATAAAAAGATAAAAATATGTGGTATTATTGCCAATGCATGAAACAACTCTCCAACAAAGACCAAATGACGAAGTAGTTAACAACTATATATATATATATAGGTCATTGTCAGACCTTTAATAATGAGCAAAGCCAATACCGCATAGTAAGCTACATCTGTTTATTATTAATTACAACAGTATCCGTCCTTTTGAATTTAGCCGTGATATAATATAGTTGTTGTACAGCATTCTTTTTCATCACAACATAGTAGAAAATGGATTTCGTCCTCTATATCGACTGTCACACTGCTGACATAAATATAAAAGATATACATGCAAAGGGGGGGGGTGGTACCTTGATATCTATATTATTTCTGTAAACGATAAAGTAGAGTTCAACGTCTACTGAAAATCTCTGCACCTAACTATCGATTATAACTGATTGCAAATATTTTTCTTCAAAACAAAGGTTAGTTTTGAACTTTGCAGTACAAAGGTTTTCTTCTGAATAATCTGTAAGTTTGATCGTCCGTCATTTTAGATATACTAGTACCTCTTTTAAAATACATAAAAGGGATACGTGGGTTACAGGCATAGTAGACAGTAAAACAGACCACACAAACCAGCAACAAGAGGCCCTCAGAGAAAAAATTAATTTTACTTTATCTTCTTTATTTTGATGGAGAGAGATGGTGCAAGTACAGAGAG